CCCCAAAACCCCAAAACCCCAAAACCCCAAAACCCCAAAACCCCAAAACCCCTAAATGTCTATTTTTAACTGAATTTTCGTACATTAATTAATCATGAATCTTAACACTATAAATCCTATCCTCCTCGTTCTGTTCTGAGTGCTGATGATCTTATCAACCTCTTCACAGGGAATCCTGTTGAAGCTCCAATCAAATGTTACTGTTGATGGCTCAAGATTTGAGCACCCATTCTTTTTAACTCTCATCATCTTCATGGGAGAATCACTCTGAATTTTCTTATACCTGCTTGAGAAGGCTTATTTAGCTTACAGATACGGAAGAGCTGATCTAAGTCCTGAAATGATAGAAGCTCAGAACAAAGGCAAGCGTACTGATATCAATCCATTGTTGATGGCCATTCCAATGTTATGTGATAGCACAGCCACTCCTTTATATATGCTAGCTTACATCAACATTCCTGCAAGTATAGGCCAAATGATGAGCGCACTTGTGATATTTGTAGTTGCTCTGCTATCAATCCTATTCTTTGGTAGGAAGTATTACAGACATCATTGGCTCGGCCTCATCTTGGTCTTTGTTGGTATCTGCCTTGTAGCAATCTCAGCGCTCATATCAAGCAAGGGCTCAGGAACAACAGGCAACGTACCTCTTGGAGTTATTCTTATGATATTCTCTGTCTTCGCAATTGGATCCCAATATGTAGTTGAGGAGAAACTTCTTTCCTCATATTATTTATCTCCATTCAAGGCTGCAGGGTGGGAAGGTATTACAGGAACGATCCTGTGGTGAGTCTTGCTCATAATCTTTCAATTTATCCCCTGCGAAGCTCAGATATGTAACAATGGAAGATTAGAAAATACTAGTGTAGCTTTTGAGTTCATGGCACAAAGTACCCAATTGAAAATTTTCTTGGTCGGCAACCTCCTTTTAACAGCATGAATGAGTGGTTTTAGTCTTTTGGTTACAAAATATGCTTCTGCTACTGCTAAAGTAATTCTAAAACAAACCAAGATAGTTATAGTATGGCTCTTCTTTTTGATCTACAGAGGTGGAGGCCATGAAACATTTCATGTTCTTCAACTTATAGGATTCGTACTCCTCTGAGCTGGTATTATTCTCTTTAATGAAATCATTATAATTCCCGTTCTTGGCTTTAACAAGAATACTAAGGCAAGGTTAACACAGAGAAGAATGGTGTCTTCACCCTCAGTTCTAAAAGACGAGCTTTCAGAGTCTCTTTGTCAAAGTGAAACGATATACTTAATGAATGACGAAACAGAGAATTGATCAAGCTTCTAGAACTTATCAAAGCACAATCTGAAATTTGGTATCTTTGAATTAAATTCAATAATCCAAAAATAATAAGGGGTTTTGGGGTTTTGGGGTTTTGGGGTTTTGGGG